CTCTCAGTTCAATGTTTCAACTCCAAACTCAATGTTTTCATTCCCAATCCAATGTTTTTACACCCAATTCAATGTATCCACTCCCAATTCAATGTTTTCATTCCCAATTCAATGTTTCCAATCCCAATCCAATGTTTTCACTCCAACTTCAATGTTTTCACTCCCAACTCTATGTTTCCACTTCCAACTCAATGTTTCCAATCCCAATTCAATGTTTTCACCTTAAATTCAATGTTTTCACTCCAAATTCAATGTTTCCATTCCCATTTCAATGTTTTCACCCCAAATTCAATGTTTCCACTCCCAATTCAATGTTTTCACTCCGAATTCAATGTTTCCACTCCCAATTCAATGTTTTCACCCCCAATTCAATGTTTTCACCCCCAATTCAATGTTTCCACTCCCAATCCAATGTTTTCACCCCCATTCAATGTTTTTATGCCCAATTCAATGTTTTCACTCCAACTTCAATGTTTCCACCTCCAATTCAATGTTTTCACTCCCAATTCAATGTTTTCACTCCCAATTCAATGTTTCCACTCCCAATTTAATGTTTCCACTCCCAATTCAATGTTTCCACTCCCAATTCACTGTTTCCATTCGCAATTCACTGTTACTAATGTTTTTTTTTGTCATTCGGTATTTGTTTGTTAGTAACATTGATATTTTTATTGATTCACCTACCATATTTACAGCAACGTTCATTTAGTTTATTGACTTGTTAGGTGTTTTATATTGTGTTGTTCTACTTATCTATGTCATTTATTATTGCTTGTGGTTATCTCATCTGTAATTGGCTGTCTGTCTATTTATTTTTTGGACACTTTTTTCATAAAGAGTGGTGCAGCAAAAAGCTGGAAATGCTATCAAAAGTATTGCAAAGGCTGGGAAGATGACTGATGCTTTGGATACAACCATCAGAAGCGCTTGCACTCTTGATGAAATTGAACATTTGGTATGTATGCTGGTAAAAATATTGTTTGGAGTCGCAAGTTGTGATTTGTTGATTATTTGTGAAATGCTTTTAGTTTAACATCATCCAAACCTTCAATATGATGTATTGCTTTTACTGATTATTTTCATAACCACCATAATTTCTACTTAGCATTGGCTTAGTAGGACTGTGTCAGCGTAACAGTGGGATATGTCATAGTGTCATGGTAACAGTAGGATATGTCACTGTGTCAGGGTAACAGTAGGATATGTCATAGTGTTAGGGTAACAGTAAGATATGTCATAGTGTCATGGTAACAGTTGGATATGTCATTGTGTCAGGGTAACAGTAAGATATGTCATAGTGTCATGGTAGCAGTAGGATATATCATTGTGTCAGGGTAACAATAGAATATGTCATTGTGTCAGGGTAACAGTAGGATATGTCATTGTGTCAGGGTAACAGTAGGATATGTCATTGTGTCAGGGTAACAGTATGATATGTCATTGTGTCAGGGTAACAGTAGGATATGTCATTGTGTCAGGGTAACAGTAAAATATGTCATTGTGTCAGGGTAACAGTAGAATATGTCATAGTGTCATAGTAACAGTAGGATATGTCATGGTAACAGTTGGATATGTCATTGTGTCATGGTAACAGTAGGATATGTCACTGTGTCAGGGTAACAGTAGGATATGTCATAGTGTTAGGGTAACAGTAGAATATGCCATTGTGTCATGCTAACAGTAGGATATGTCATTGTGTCAGGGTAACAGTAGGATATGTCATTGTGTCATGGTAACAGTAGGATATGTCACTGTGTCAGGGTAACAGTAGGATATGTCATAGTGTCAGGGTAACTAGGATATGCCATTGTGTCAGGGTAACAGTAGGATGTGTCATTGTGTCAGGGTAACTAGGATATGCCATTGTGTTAGGGTAACAGTAGAATATGTCATTGTGTCAGGGTAACTAGGATATGCCATTGTGTCAGGGTAACAGTAGGATATGTCATTGTGTCAGGGTAACTAGGATATGCCATTGTGTTAGGGTAACAGTAGAATATGCCATTGTGTCATGGTAACAGTAGGATATGTCATTGTGTCAGGGTAACAGTAGGATATGTCATTGTGTCATGGTAACAGTAGGATATGTCACTGTGTCAGGGTAACAGTAGGATATGTCATAGTGTTAGGGTAACAGTAG